CATTAAATTATTTCAGATTTGATTAACGCTGTTGGAACGATTGAGGAGGTGATGCAAGTGATCATAAAAGAATTTGAGTATCAGAGTTCGTTAGAACTTGGTATGATTATATTTCTCAAAAACTTTTTTTTTTTTCGTAAATTCAAAAAAAAAGTTGATTTAATTTTAATTTTCATTATAGATCAAAAGACATATGATGCAATTGCGCATATACCTTTAGCAACAAAGATTAGTATACATGCAAGACAAGATTTGATCAGCAGGCTTGAACATTATCAAGAAACAGATCCAGCATCATTTTCAAAGGCTATAGAATTCGTGGATGAAAATGTTATTCCTATGGTTCAAAGGCATGCAATTAGTGGGCAGACACTTGTTCGAACGTGCGTAAAAAATAATTACTTTTCATCTTGTAAAAAAAAAAAAAAAAAAAAAAAAAAAAATTAAACAAAACACTTGTAATTCTTTTAGGAATTCACAAGATTTAGAGAATCAACATCTTGTGGATATGATAATGGATGTTTTATCAGAACGAGGTTATCATGTGATGTTTGATGATCGAGTTCGACAAACCCCTATTAGAATTAATCCTGACACATGGGAAATTATTCTAGAAAAGTAAATATTTCTTTGAGCTTTTTTTTTTAAAAAAAAAAAATTTAAATGAAAAATTGATCTAACCATTTCATTTTTTCTTTTCAGGCGACACAATTATATGTTTAGTGTACGTTTCCCCAAACACATCATTCAACCACTTGAACAAAAGTTTTAAGTGAATTATTTTATTAGAATTGAACAATTAGATTTTATAAATATTAGTAGTAGGGTACAAACTAAATTATGTTGTCTATTCTACTTTTATTATTGTACAAAAGTAAGAGATATTGAATTCATAGATACGTAATAAAATTATTTATTTGATAATAGAATAAACAAGAATATTTTTATTAAGTTAATGCCTTTAATGAACAATACTATAACATATTCTTTTTCTTTTGATCGTCGAGAGACATGTCATGAAAATTTATATTTAAAAACTTTTTTGATTTATAAAAATTAAATAGGAACAAACTATAGAAACTTTGCGCTTTACAATTAAAAATCAAGATTTTATCATATCTTATAACTTGTGAGCAGGAAACTTATATAAAGGATGTTCGGTCTTGATTCTTTCTCTTAATATCCTTCTTAAAATTTTACCGGATTCACTTTTAGGAATTTGATCAATGAATAAAACACCGCCACGCAATTTCTTATAATTAGCAACATTTTGAGCAATAAAACCTTTAATTTCTTCTTTTAATTGATCCGATTTAGGAATGTTTTGTTGTAATACGACGTAAGCAACCGGATATTCGGTAGCTTCTTGATTGGAGTAAATACCAATTACGGCAGCATCAGCGATTGATGGATGGGTAAGCAAAAGTGATTCCAATTCGGCAGGTGGAATTTGGAAACCCTATGAGGACAATTTTAAGAATTTTAACATGACAAAAAGGCAAATATGAACCAAATTAAGCGTATGTTGTTTACCTTGTACTTAATCAACTCTTTAACACGTTCGACGATATAAAAGTTTCCTATTATGAAATTAAAAAAAAAAATGAGAAATATATAATACGTTTACCGAAGACAGAGAAGTAATTAATCATTTAATCATTCACCAGTTTCATCGACCGTTGCTATATCACCGGTATGAAGCCATCCTTCAGGATCAATACACGCATCAGTGGCCGCTTTGTTATTAAGGTAACTTTTCATAACCGTTGGACCACGAATACAAAGTTCACCAGGTTGATTATATCCAAGTTCTTCTCCTCCTTGGGATAGGATCTTGCATTCCATATTTGGAAGAAGCCTTCCAACAGAACCATGAATGACAAGATCAGTTGCAGACACGTGTGTTATAGGACTTTCAGTTAAACCATAACCTTGTTTAATTTGTATATTATACATTTTGTTGAATTCTTCGGCTAATTCTTTGCTTAAAGGAGCAGCACCACTTAAACATATATTTAAACTTGATAAATCATATTTTCTTGCAATTGGATGTTTAACTAATAATACAATTATTGGAGGCACGACTGGGATTGCATTAATTTTATACTCTTGAATTATTCTGCAGAAAGTTGTCAAATCAAATTTTGGCATTATAACGATTGTCGCTCCCTTTAAAATGACTAAATGAACGAAAAACAATAATCCATAAATATGAAAGAAAGGTAATACGGAAAGGTAAATAGACTCATCATCTATAACACCTTCAACATTATGAATTTGATGTACATTAGCGACCATATTAGCATGAGTTGTTTCGACACCTTTACTCCTTCCCGTAGTACCAGAACTATAACATAAGTATGCCGTAGTTGACTTTGCTTCTTCTGATGAATATTCAATTGGAATTGCTTCTCTCTTGGAAATGAGAGAGGAATAAGACTTGATTCCATCAATTTCTTTATCGCCAAATAAAAATATATTTGACACAGGAATATTTGCAGCGGCAGCGGCTTTAATCGCTTTTGAGAGAAATGGTGGAGATACGGCAATATATTTTGCTCTCGAATCCTTTAATTGATTAGTAAATTCATCAACTGTATACATGGGATTAGCAGGCGTAACTTTTCCTCCTGCAGCTATTGCTCCAAGCAAAATAATTAAGTAATCGATCTAAAAGGTTAAAAAGAAGAATTTTTTAATTTTTCATTCTTTTTACGATATTTAGAAATGACAAATGAATGTATCCCTCAGTACCTGGTTTGGAGAGTACATTGCTAAAACGTCGCCACATTTAAAATCTGCTTTATCGATTAATCCAGCTGCAAATTTCTTGGAATAACTCTTAAGTGCTCCATAAGTTAATTTTCTACCAGTTATACCATCGATGAAGATTGTTTTATCATCTTTAATCCCATTTGGATTACTTGTAATGTATTGATAAATTCCTTGAAAAGGAATTTCAATGTTTGGATATAGTGATTTGAAAATCATCGTAATTCAAATAAAGAAGAAACAAAGTGAGAGAGAAGAGGGGAGAGAAATTTCATTTGCATAAAGAAAAAAAACCCCCTTTAAATTTGTGTTCGATTAGCAAATGTAGAGAAAATTTTAACCTTTAATATACCAATAATAATCGCGATAAATAAAATGAGACCGACAACACGGAGACGGAGTTTTTGTCAAAAAGAGAAATTATATAATACTACGAGTTTAATTTAGAAAATTAAAAATAATAACTGCGCCATAAATGCCCGAACCTATCGGATCACTTGTAACATATTGATAAATTTATCGTGTAAATGTAAGTATCGTTGTTATCTTTAGTTTAAAAAAAAAAGGAAATTTTGATTACATAAGGGTTAAAATTGTGTTCGATTTGCAAATGAAATTTTCCCAAATTAATAATTTATTATATTATGCAATTTGTTCAATTGGTATTGGTTTGATCGAAGACTACTGCGTTATTTACGATGACTTTAGTTATACTTAATTGTGAAAATCTTTTCGATCGATGAAATGCCGTTATATCACCAGATAATCTTAATTAATCATTAACGAATTTAACAAACATATAATTAAATCGCAAAATAATTTTTATTAAAGGTAAGGACATTTATATGAATTATCTACTGTATTTATCACTGTATAACTATCGAAATAGGTATAATGAGAATAGAGAAAAAGTGTTTAAATTGGTTGGAACCTTTCAAAAAATTGTGATCCGTAAGGGGGTGGGACTCAAAACCATCTAGTTTCACATTGACATATTTCAACAGATAATTCTTTGTTTTCAGAATTTGAAAAGTAATCTCCTTTTCTTCGAAGTTATAAAGTGTCATAATTAATTACTTCTATTCCTACCTTTTAATTATCTGAAATTGCAACAATAGAACGATTTCGTAAAAAGGAAGGTTTTCTTGGCTCAACAATTGTCGCATTATATTTATTTTCTAGAAAAGAGGAAAATTTGTATATTCAATTAGATTTGCAACTTACTCGTTTAAATTAAACGAAATGATGGTGTTATTTAGACAGTAGCATTTTATGATACAAAATTATAATTGTTTTCTTTTAAAACTAAAATTAAGTTCACTTGACCAATCAATAAATAAACCGGATCATATGAATTACAATCCCGTTAATATTTTTTTTTGAAAATTTTCATTATTGGAACGAATGATTCCGGTTTCTCAAAACCAAAAATTAAAGACATAAAACATCATCATTCTATCGTTCTTTAAACCTTTCGTCTTCATGCCATCGAAACATATTTTTGCTCTTAAGAAATAAATATTGAAGTAAAATAGAGCGAGGATAAAGAGAAAACCTTGTAAATAAATGGTAAATAAATAAAGAAGGGCAATAAAATGGTAAATATGGTAATACATTAAAACCTATCATTACTAACAATACCCCACATTAAGCGAAATTTAAATTAGGCAATAACAAGTCCTGTAAAGGAATAGGCTCGCGTCAACCTAAGCTGACTCCTTTTTTATGATATCGTAAGAGAATATTACGAGCACCATTTATATCTCTATCAAGATTTATTTTACATTGGGGACAGCAAAATTCCTTGGATCCGCCTAGTTTTTTTATGAATATAGCCACAGAATCCGCAAGTTTTGCTTGTGTATTCTTCTGTACAAATTACAACTTGACACCATGGATACTCACGTGACTTATGGATCAAATGCTGTCGAAAGCGAAAATGTACACATGGCTCGCGCAGTCTTGGAGCCAATGCGTCATTGCTCACGTCAAACCATTTCTTGAATGCGAAACTCGTGTAATAATATTATATGATAATTTTCACAAAGCCATTTAGCCAGCTTTCACAAGACAACGGATTTTCTTGTAAATTCGTAACATATGATGTAATCTACAATTAAAAGTAGTAAATACATTAAATTATAAATGAAATTTTACCTGTAACGTCTTCGCTTATTTTTTTTCATGAATGTTTGTCATATACATAACATAATCTATAAACTCAGCTAATGTCATTTTTGCCCTATTCAACTGCTATTCCAGCCATGAATGTACGTACACTTAGATCTAAAGAAATCATTCCTGATCCTTCCTATTAAATTAATAAATATATAATTAATTGAAGTTCTAATTTGAAATATAGGACCTTGGTTTTCAGCCTGTATTTCAAGTGGTCTAGATAATATTCACCAAGCTGATATAATAAGGCGACTATCATATTCAAGTTTTTCTGGAAGAGGTTCAGATGACTTGATTTCAGGAAGAAATGACCCATTTGAGTTTGGTATCATTGAAGTTTTTCGCGTTAAGACATAGTACGTATAGATCCTTCTTTTCTCATTTACTATCTTCATTTTCGACCACAGTAAGAAACTGATTGAGTTTCAGATGCTCCTACTGGTTGGAATATATGCGAATCTGTTGTATCTTGCCTGCTGGAAGTTTTTTCACTTATTTTTTGGAACTCTTAAATCTCTTAGGCAGCAACTCTTCTCCTTCTGTAATTTGCGACTGAACATAATCCATTATGTTATACAAATACTGTGATGATTGCAAGCAAGTCTTCAGCAAGTTCTACTTTCAGCACTGACATCTGTACTGAGTACTACAAGCTGAGTCTCATTCTTCTCAAAGTTCCATTCTATAAGCTCGGATCTAAAACAGCACGATCAGTCCTAATAAAAAAGTGAGTAAAATAAAAAAAACAATAAATCAAAACAAATAAATAATTGAACTCAAATCTTTTAGGTAACCACCACTTCTTCGATTCCTCCTGCATGTATTCGTTCCAGAAGTGCAAAATCTTGTTTTGATCCAGGTCACTAAAAATGTGGTTAAGGATCTTTACAAAACCGTATTAATAATTAGTAAGCTCAGTAATATGAAAAATGTGGTTTAGTTTTTTGATGATATAAAATTTTTTTTCATAATTTTAATCTATTCATAAACTATTTCGCTCATTTTTGGAAGCTAGGATCAAAGTCATTTTGCCCTATAAAATATAAATCGAGAAGATCCAAATCACCAAAACTTCTCTGATTTCGTATGATAAAAATATTCAAGCGAAGAAGTTGACGGAATTAGATGCTTATATTTTCGATTGTAAGAAAGCCAAAAGATCAAATCACACCTTCCTTACCATCAAAGCCTCCCTCGCGAACTCTAATTTTTTTTTTCCTTCGTTTTTATAAGTAATATTATATTATGATAAAATTTTTTTTTAGATCTTCTTGAATTTCTTAGTCAATGCATATTATATTATCTTTAACCCATATTTTTTTGTTTTAATCCATATTTTTTTTTTTTAAAAAAAAAAAATGTTTCACCGTATAAAGATCATGAAAATTTGAAGATTCCACTAATGATAGTATTCAAAGCGTTGTGAAATGCACAAGATGGACGCGTCTTTATTTTTAGTTTCTTTATTGATTTCCATGTCATTTTTTTTCCAGCGGAATTTATAATATTAACGAAACGAGGAAATATGGTCACATGAATAAAATTACTTGATAATTATTCTATTGATCAATTCATTTCTTTATTATTCATAATATATTGTAAAAATTATCTATATGTTCAGTTACATATCCGAATTATAAACTTGGAATTGTTTGTAGAATTTCAATCATAAAAAAAATACATATAAAAAAAATTCTTACGATAACACGTTCAATTTAAAACAATAAGTAATAGTTATTCAAATAAAGATGGCAAATCATGATGAGACTGTTATATAAAATAAACCATTCGTCTGTTTTTATGCTAGTTTATCATATTCCGACACGATCTTATCTACTTCTCATTTCCCTCATACTCCCTTACCTTAAACGGTATAATAGTTATTAAAAGTTACGATAAAGATAAACCCAACGAACTATATAAAAATATTAAAATTTAAGTCAGAGCCGAAGAAAAGTGTTTAATACAAACACATAATATATACAAGTTCTCACTAAAGTGTCACATAAATCTTGTCACTTAAATCGAATGTCCAGAAACTTTTACGACAGTATATTAAGTAAAAGTTGATCCCCAAGTATGAAATATTTGTTCGATTCGTTTTTTATTGGTAGTTGACTGTGATGTAATTTCGACAGGTTCCTTGTCTTAAAAAAAAAAAATGGAAATTAAAATTTAAGATTATAAATCACGTGAATTAAATATCACTCTTCCCTTATATATTCCTGTAATGTATATAACCTTACCATATGTGTCATGGATATTATTTCCTACTTCATAACTTTTATATTCATAACAGAATAATATATTTTTTATATTTTTCTGGATCGGCTGCAGAATCAATAGTTAACATATTGATATGAGTAATTACATGATGAACGTCAGAATTTCCAACTTATGCATTTAAACCAATTATCCATTGTGCTAGAAATAGCTCGGCAAGAGAAAAAAACTGTTTTGAGTTCTGACACAAAAATTTCTACAACTTGTTCATCATGCTTCTTAAAGATTCAGCATCATCATCAAATGATGTAACAATTCTGGTAGCAGGGGATTCCTAGATAAAGTTTTTGCAAATTTTGCATCAAAATCTAACGCTGGGACTATAAAGTTTACACCGGAATTTGGATTGGTGTAAGATTTATGAAGCTTCATAAACGTGCTCAATGGATATAATGTCACATTTGTTAAAGACACACTACATAATTTCATCCTTTCCTTGGTAAGAATCTTCCATATCACTAATGATGGAAAGGTCAATATTCTATCGAGTTAAGAATATAATGAAATATTTGTTGAGATTATACACATTTTCTATGCCTCAAAGCATTTGGAGACTGTCCCACACTATATCCCACATTTATATTAAGTCTCAATGTGTCCCAACAATTTCCCAACAATCATGACAACACTTGCCTTACTGGCTACAAGTAAATTAGGTAGTTGCACGCACGCGAAACAATTTGTTTTAATACGACTTTTTTTTTAGATTTTGAAATGAATTGTTTATCAGAAAAAAGATGATATAATAACTAGGATGATATAGTAATAATTACAGGTATTAAAAACTTGTAAAAGTTCAGCTCCAGATCATATAGTCGAAGAATTCAATAATTTCGTATGATCTTTTAAAGATGCCTTTAGTGAAAAAATTAGAATTTTGCTATTTTCCATTAGTTGTTACGTAAGAAGAATTTTCCATTCGTTGTTGAAGACATTTTGTTAATCATTAGAAAAATCAGTTGATGATGAGAATCTAATACAAGTCTACTTCAAATGTTACACATAGAAACACTGAAGAAAGGTTGCAAATGATTAAATCAAATAGAAACTGAAATGTAGAAATACCGCTTATCGATTAATATCCATTTGTACTTCATATTTTCTCAGAAGTGAGAGAATTTTGAGAATAATAATATTTTGATCTTCATTAACATAATTGTTTTTTAAGCTCTAGCTTATTTATTTTACCAGTAATTGGCTTTATCTATGTCATTTATAATCACATCATATAATTCTAATCCTTTTTCTTCGTGCTCCAATAACTTCCTCGAGTCACGTGGTCCGTTACAGTGTGTTTATATACCTAGATTGGCGGATTCTTTATAATATTCAAATGCTTTAAATTCATCTTCTTCAATCCATACCGGAATTAATATTCACCTAATTTATATATTGCAAATGTATTTTTATTTCCTGCTAGTTGATATCGGTAGGAGGCATTTTCGAGATTTTTTTTCGTTCCTTTCCCTTTCAAACAAGAGACCAACTTTAAACTTTGAAGCGCTATATCATTGTTCGGCAGCTTTAAGATACCATTTAAAGGCCAGTCTTAAACTACTGTTCATTCCTCTAATTAACCAAGATTATGTTGTACAAGAAGATGACCAGATTGCTGCTTGTAGATACCAAGCACTAGAGCCACTTTGTTGTTCTTTCCTCCCTTTCGTATAAACGACCAAGATTACCAAGATTATATTGTGCATCTTTAAATAATGCTTATTATTAAAAACTAAGAAAATTCATTTCTATTCTCATCTTACCCTTTTTTGTGATCACAATTTTAAAAAGCCCACCAAATTATCATCTTTTGTATTACTATTATTAATCCCTGTTTCTTTGCTTGATTTCCTCTGTACGAGTATTCAATAAACTGCTTAATGGCAAACCACTAGCGTTGACAAATTCATCAGAAATCATTGACCAATTGGTTGGCGAATTAGCATAAATCGACTATTATATGACAATAGTAAACAACATCTGAATAAAATCCCTATATAAGAAAAATATCGAAAGTTTTATACATTAATTTATTTATAAATAATATAAATGATAAAAACATTTGAACAGAAATTACCGTTCACATTATTCAACCCAAGTAAAGTTTGACGACACCATTTTAAAACTTCCTCCAAAAGGAGAACGAGGTGCAAGTTTATTGGAATTGTTAATATTAATAATACCACCGTTTCCTGAAGTCTTTGACAAATTCTAGATGATATAAGGTTGTTTATTACTATTTTTTAAGTTTTCTGATTGCTTGCTTAATTAATTGACTTTGTGATCTAAATTAAGAATAATTAATATTAGGAGAAGTTTATTAAATACAAAAATAAAAATTATGAAAAAACAAAAAATACCTTAAACCATATCCCAAGCTATGGACGAATCTTTCCGCCGGGGATAACACATTTATCGATTAGGTTGAGGATATACTGCAGTAATTGCACGATTGCTTGACTTGTTGTCAAGCAGTATTCATAGAAATAGATCCGCACTTCTGTAAGTTAATAATAATATTAAAAAGTATGTCAAAGAATTTATTATAATTCATATTTATATACAAAGTTTGATGCTTACTTTTCTCCATTCATAAAGCTACTGTACTACTGTATCTGCATAGCGTTTCCCATACTATTTGTGGCAGCCGATCCGGTTCCAGACATAAAGCTTGTTGCCCATTTCACATCCTGCCACGTCTTTTCCTATTTCATTAAGCTTTTGTTAGGAGCAGAATTGTTTGAATGCAATGCTAGTGTAATAACAACAGAGAAGACGAACTATATGTATTATGTAAATTGGATGAATTTGAACCAATGATTCCCCAAGAAGAATTTGAGGGTGATTAGAATTATAACAGTAGTAACCGTAGACGCAGCAGCTTACGTTCAGCGGTTTTACGAACTTCCATTTCTTGAATTTCACGTAATGAAGGAGATTTCAGTACCATATTTGCCCACGGAGCTGAAGAAGGAGTGAACAGACTATTATTTCCCCATGATAATCCATCATTCTTTAGTGGTTAAGGTGTTTTGACAATAGTTTGATTGAAAGTTTGTTGAGTAATGGACGTCAATTTACTTTTTTGCGTTGTTCTTCCGCCTGAGTTTCTCGTAGTAAGGGTTTTAACGTGACTCTTCTGAATAAAATGCGGAAGCATTTCATTGGTAATGTCTCTGAGGAGAGGTTTTGTCATAGATTAAACACATCATTAATTTTATGATCTCAATCCATGATTTCATATTGTCTCTTATACTGTCAACTAGAAATCTGATAAATATGTGACGGTTGTTGTAATCCAATATTCTTTCTTTTTCATACCGAAATATCCGATCTCATCTGACTGTGGAACACGCGGATCTAGTTAAAACGTAACAAACGGAGGGTTGGGCGCACTTATAATAGGAACAGATACAGACCCAGATATCCCTATATAACTTTTCTGTTTTCTAATAAAAATGCATGTTGACTTAGTTGTCTGTCAGAGATCATATATTTTTGGCACTCAAGCTGGGAAGATAGTGCCGTTGATGATCCAGATAACTTTGAGGTGGTGAAACATTGCATTATTGTTAAATAGAGGTGGTGAATCAGGAGCTTGCACACGAGGAGACAAATTTTTGTTGTTATATGTGAAACCGTCTGTTTGTATGCATTATATGCATTATTTGTTGAGTACAGATCTCCCCATCCGCCCCAAATAGAACGTCATTACTTATATTTATCAAATTAGTAGTAACCCAAGATCTTTGGAATGGATCATGATGATTATTAGGCATAGAAATGGTTGATGGTTTTGAACCAAATATTGTTGCAGAAAAAGACCTTTCATCATCACTGTCCTTCTTATCGAACAACCTAAAGGTTTATCTTCGACCGTTTTAACTAAACAACTATGAACAAAAAATCCACCCTTATAACATTCATTCATAACCTGAATATTAATTGGCCCTAAATGATTTTATTAAATGAACATAACTGTGTGAACCATCAAACAGCAACTACAAAATAATTTAAAAAATTTTACCTTTAATATTACATTACCACTTGAATTGCTCGGGCGCTAAATTACTTGGTTCAGCATTTATTCCTGTACCCAGAATTGCTTCACCAAAATACATTACCAGTGTAAATATCTGAATGTGCAGAAGTAGATTTGATAATTTTGCCTATTTGGGACAACGGTGTCCTAAATTTGAAAAAGCGAACGCTTCAAAACATCATCATCTTGTTCTAGGTCAAACGATGAGGTAATAATATTGGTTGTTGATGTTGTAGAAGTTGCTGTTGAAGATGCTGTTACAATAATCCTTGCTGATCGTAATTTTTTTTGTTGTTGTTGCTGCTGCAATAATAACGTTGCTGTTGTTGTTGCTGATGTTGTTGAAAATGTAGCTGTAATTGTAATTGTACTGCTGTTCATTTTCTTGTTGTATGTATTTGTAATTGTCGTAGTTGCTTTTCTTGTTATATGGTATGGTTCCTTATCATTATCTTAATGAAGCAACAATTGTTGCGATATTAAATTTTGTTGTTCCAACGTTAATTGTTCATTTCTCTCTCTAATTTAAGTTTCATTATCATTATCATGTTCAAGTTCCTGCTCAATGTTTTTTTCGTCATCTTTAGATTCGCAACAATCAGCTGCAGTAACACCTGATGCTTTCTTCATGTTTTGTTACGAGCGTTGAAAAGACTTTTGTTCTTCTTGGTGAAGATTCAACTTGATTTTGTTGTAATGATGATTCTTTAGTTTCTCGATTTGGGTGACTTTGCCAGTCTTGTAAACTTTATCTTCTCGAACTTGACATTCTTGTTTCGTTTCCTGCTATAGACCAAGTTATATCAAAGTTTTTTCTTGCAAATATTCCGTAACCTCATTTCTCGTGGAATCTTCAATGTCATACATAGATTTATTGTTTCTTTCTTTTCGTTCTAATTTGGACGTAACAATTTCAAATTAGGACAGGCATTTGAATCCGATCGATCGGTCGGAGTTTTCTTTTTAGCATTGGGAAAACATAATGTCATACCAGCTTGATTTCTTAAAATTAAATTTTAAATCAATCGCTCACTAACCTATTGCTCGATTTTCTTGCCATGTTCGGTATCCTCTTTCTTAACTACTATTAAAGTCTCGTTTTCTACATTGTTTTCAAGGTTCTGAAAACCCATTATCATTCCAACCTGGATCATGATGTTGAATTGAAATATCTAGGTGAGCGACATGTTCGGTCACTAAGTACTCCAATAATAATATCACAGAAACGTTCGCTTCTGGGTGAAGTTAGTTCACTGCTAATATGTTTGGAGAAACTTGAATTCTTTCTCTCTCTATACGTTCACCTCCAGTTAACGCATTGAAAACAATAAGTTGAAAAAGTTCAAGGATAATAATAATAATAAAAATAATAACAAATTTAATAATATATTAAACTATTAATGTAATTAAAGAAATAAAAACATTAAGTAGAATTCCGAAGTTCAATGAATATTTTGCCCATTAATTGATTAATCGCTTCCTCACTTTTTTTGAAATTTGATATCCAAGGGATCACTATTGTGATTGGTTGATTTTTTTTGTTATCAATCATTACCAAAAATAAAAAACACGTGACTCAAATTATTATTAGAAACTCCCCGTTAGGGACGATGTGATAAAAACCAAATTCTGTGGTGTGTATGTGATGTGATACCGATTTTCATACATTCTGTGTAATTCTGTGGTGGTTAAAATCAATTCGGTGTTTTTATGTATTTAAAAGCTTTAAAAATCAATTACTTTTATTAAAATATAACATATTTAATTTTTTAATGATTCGCACGAAAGATTTTGCCGATCATTTTATACATAGAGAAACTACGCTCTTCACTGCAACTAGAAATTGGGAGCCAAATATAATCTAATGCAATTTTTGCATTCCCATCCAATACAAATTAAGATCAACCTGCTCTTCAATTAATTCATTTACTAACCCACAATAAATTGACCATTCCCTCAATAGTTCGTTAGAAGGAAGGATTACAAAGTTCTTTAATTACTGAATACCTGTTTAATATATAATGGATCAAAAACACAACGAGCATGAAATAAAGATCGTGCAGGATGTTGTGGAATATGTGTTGCAAATTTATTGTATGCAACAATAAATGCTGATCGAAAAATATTATAAATATCCTCAGGGTTAAAGTTAAATTGTATGATGAGAGAGTATAAATCAAGTCCAAAATCCTGTACTATAAGATTTCCTTCCAAATAAGATGTAAGTTGTTCAAGACGACCGTCAATAAATGGAAATATTGGCTTATTTTGCTGCTGAAAACAATCCAAATCCTGAACAAATTCTTGTGCATAAAATGTAATAAAATTGATATAAATTGTAATTATTTTTTTTTTGTTCATCTTGTAAAATTTCATTAATGACAGAAATTGATAAATGTTTTGTACCTCTTTCATATTCTTTAAGATAAAAAGAAGGCCAATAATCTATATGGTTTTTAGCATAAAATACCATTTTAAACCATAAAATCCATTGTGTCTTATTTGGTAAGGCCTTTTCATCCTGATGCATTTATAAATATTTCCTTAATTTTTGATAATAATAATTTTAAAAGATCAAAATTGAATGTGTTCTTCAAGTATTACTTGTAAAAATATATCAATAGAAATAATTGTTAAAATTGAAATAATAATTTGCCAATGAGATTTATAATGTGAGCTAAACATATTACAGTCAAACCTGTCTATAATCACCACTTTTGGTTTTTAAAAATTATGTGATTATAAATAGAGGTGATTATATGGGGCCTTTGCAATAGAAAGGGGGGAAACAGCCGAAAAAATCAAAAGTGAGTTAATGCTAAATTTGAACATA